AAAAGCGAAATTTTATTCAAAAACATTGAGCATTACATGTGGTTGTTTAACGACAAGATTAGTAAATCATGTAATGTATTTTAATGCATGTAATTAGTTTGTAAAAAGGCGATCTTTCAACAAATTGAAAATGTTGCATCGCATGTTAAAAAATGGTCAGAAACTAAGGAGCGCACAGCTTACGTCGATAATTGTCGGTTGTTAATGGATAGCACAGTAAGCAATGCCTTCGATTACAGATATTTCACATTTATTTGTTAACTGGCTATGCAAACTTTATCGACGATTTTATTGGTTTTTCTTTTGCTGCGTTTAGGAACTTTCTCTGCAGAAACGAGTTTGCATTTTTGAAGCTAACATTGCATAATCTCCTTTTAACGTTGCAACGAAGCGAAAGAACAAAAATGCTATAATCAAACATGCATATTTGTTCAAGCAAAGTGTCTGGACGCAGTAGAAACTTCATATATGCACTAATACACAATATTTCCTGCCCAAATATTGATAACGTTGCTTACTGTGAGCAAGATAGTCAAGATTAAAAACAATCATTATCAACATTTCAATCAATCGAAAAGATTGGACAAGTGATGGGACCAGAAAGCGATGGAACATGGAATAAGTAAGAGAATAAAGAAAATACATAAGATAATAACACAGAACAATTATTTCACGTGAAGGACACGGAGAGCTTTGATAAGTATCGAAATGTTATATAAAGTTCTGTCAAAGTGCAATTTTACTTAATTCCATCAGTCTGAAAAATCCTTCTTAGACCGCATGCTGGCTTATTTGATAAAATTGTCAAAAAATGAATAGTCATATTTCAAAACTTTTTGGCTATAGAATTAACCACTGCTCGCAGACGATTTGACTTGCATTATTAAACTTGGAAACACCTCAATGAAGTAAATCTGACAGCGATCAAAAATGTGACCTCAGCCTCAGAATAGTTAACGCCATATAACATTGTTCTTAAACATAATTATTGTTGGTCAGACATTCTAATCTACGGGTACTTTCCCTATGTTGTTTACCCTTTGTTAGATGACGCTGAGAAAGCAACATCGACTATATTCTGTGGTATAAAAATTATTGCAAGCCGTCACTGTTGTTTATTCTTCGGTGAAAATCGTAAATTTTTGGCGGATCCGCTGAAGCAATAAAATTTGATTGATTTATGTGTGGGTGCTTAAGTGCAACCGACATGTTTTGACTACTGTACGTGTCGTCAGGC